AAAAAATTCAAATTCGAATTCTCATTCGGCGAGGAAAAAATATCGAGGAAAGGTAAACTTTTGAGGAGTTGGAAAACATATCGAACTTTAAAATTGTATAATGTTACAAGCCCCCACACATAGAGATGGCCATCAAGACGTCGTTGATTTAACCAGCAAACTTCATTGAAATGCATCGGTTGCAATACAAGCGATTCTATCGTCTTCGATTGAATTTCTTCTTTTTTTCGCTTTTTTTCATCGCGCAGTCGAATAGCTCTTACGTACCTATATATCGAATAAGTCCAGGGCGTCGTGAGTCTAAGAGAGGTAACTCGCACCTATTCTTTTTCATTCGCAACTTATCGATAATCGATTGGCTGCTAAGTTAAAAAGTCTTTCCTCTTTTCTCCCATCTCGTACGGGCGCGCGCGGAGACCACAACATTATGGAAAACCGCTTACAACTTTTCTTATCAGACAAGATGCGCTCATTACGTTTTCCCTGTTATATGCACTGGATGCGAAAACTTGGCACAAATTTTTACGTGTTCCAATTTAAAAGTAAAAATCTTTTACAATCAAAAAAGAAAAAAGTAACCGTAGGAAAATTTACTGCAGAGAATATTTGTTGTCTCGAAATACTATATTCACAGGGTCGTACAATATCGCGAGAGGAGAAAAAAATTTATACGTAAAAATTGGAAAAGTGTCGAAATAATTTCCAATGATGAAGTTCGGGCGAAGTAATTTTATAGACGCGTCAGGAAAAGCGGAGGAGGCATCTGGTGTATCCCGGGTACGAAATCCCCCCTACGCCAAGCTTATATTCGCAACCATAAATATAAGAGCTGCGCATTTTCTCTTTATCAGATCTTCTTATCTTCTCCATATTCTCATCTGGGAAGATAATACTCGGAGGATGACGATCGATAGTAAATTCTGCAAAAAATGAGCAAACTACGCTGTGACGGTTAAAAAAGGAAAAAAAAACGGAAAACGAGAGATGAAGCAGACCCCCCCGTTTGCGCTAGTTGGACGAGTAATCCGCGGTTATCGCGTTTCTCGCTCGCAGCTCCTTTTTTTCAGCGTCGCGCAACGAAGTCGCAAGTTTATATCTGACTACAAATGTGTGTAATTTGAAAAGCTCTTTTAACAATAGGTATACGGGGCCGATTGTATCGTTTCTATATCGAGAACAGATCCTTTCTGCGAACGATGTTTTTGCGAGAAGTTTAAGCTTCAATAAAAAATGACACACAACAAGCTTCTCAGCCGCCTGTGTCATCTCTTTCACTAAAATTTTACAATAATACTATTTCTTACGTACAAAAGGATACGTTTCAATTGATGTCGGAGGCGTATTGGTGTGTCGCGATCGAACCGTATTTTATCCGAGGTAAGAAATTTTCTACACAGCATCCAACAAATTAGAAAATAAATTGCGATAAAGAATTTTGATACCCGTTCGAAGCTCGGGTAGCGCAATCGATCGATTTTAGTCTTGCAAAAGGATGAAAAGAAAAATTTATTAGGTGGTATACACGACGGATACTTGGAGCAGTGCACGCCTCAAAGAGCGCGAAAAACACGTATGAACGAGAAGCGCTCCAAGATAAATGGCATAATTATTCGCGCGTGTGTTGGCAATTTCTCGAATGTCAGCCAATTTTTCTCTATAACCACGCGGCAACTACTGAATTCGGCGCTGCACGCGCGATTCTAACCGTGCATTCATCTTTTTCTTTTTTCAAACTGTTTTTTTTTTTCATTTTCAAACCGGGACGATTTCTTATCAGCGATGGATTTTAAACGTGTAACTTGAATTCATTCGACGACAGGGATCAATATGATACGTTCGTCAGAATCAGCAATAAGCCCAAAATCAACGATGTAATCAATCATTCGTCAGCTGACACCGCGTTGGGCCGATCGTTCATCACCACACGAGCGCCGGAGAAGCGATATCACGATACGCACAACGGGTTAAAGCTACTTACATCGGCGGATACGCGCGCGCACACATAGCACCAACGCGTCCGAGACAAGCAAGTACGCACACACACACACATACGCATATATTGGCGCAGTGTAAGAGATAAGCCATTCACCCCGGTGGTATATACTTGACGAATCGTGCTGGCGGGACTAATCGTCTCATAAGCGACATTTCCGTTGGATCGCAGCCAATACACATCCCTTTTGCCTCCATGTGTGTGCGCACGTATGTTCAGTACGCCTCTCTGTGTCGTGCATTCATTATAAACGACTCAGACGGTCATTGTCTCGTTTCGCAATGCATCGCCCATGGACGTGTACTCGTGAAAGAGATATCGTTGAAAAAAAATATCATACGCATGACTTTTTTCGAGACCAATTTTTCAGAAAACAAACTATTCCATTGGATAATCTCAATTTTGCTTTTCTTCTAGGATGAGTTAAATCAATTTACAAAAGTAATTTTTATTTTACAACAGTCCTATATTTTGTTTGAAAATATTTTTTTTGCACGGATGCTTCTTTGTGATCCGAGCAAGACATCAATTTCGCATCGGCAAAAATTTCAAGTTCAAACTATAGTTTACATTTTAAGCGCTACGTGGCGCATGAAAACTCGTAAGTGAGTTATATCAGCTCACTGTATAATTTGCTTGCTAGATATCATAGTACCATAATTAAATCTTTTTTTTGTCCAACTTGGTGTATTAGAAAAAAGTGTTTTCACTTCTTCTAAGTATGTTTAATTGTTTCCACTTTTTTGAGTTGTTTTAAAAGATGTGAATATGACAATTTCATGGTCTCAAACATTTCGACCAGTTCTTAACCACTTTGGATACGATAATACTAATTGTAGCCTCTACCAATAGATGGCGTTTAATTATATCTGTAAATCTGCAAGTGACAAAGTAGAACTAACCGTATAAGCCAAATCAATAGAAACTTAAAATATGTAAGTTCTTTTTCTCATGGTTTATTACCCTAAATTTGTTTATTGTTTTGTCCGGCAAGTTTTCAATGACGAATGAACTTGAAAAAAATTAAGTAAAAATATTTTTCAAAAATTCAATCGTAATTAGAATGCATCATCATTATCTAAGGTTTTTAGAACAACTTGAATCTGAATAAGAGTTATTCAATTTTAAGATTTGAATAGATATAATTTTACGTTCACAATTTCACTAGAGTAAGCATTTTAATATGTGGAGAGGGTCCTGCAGAGAAGCTGATGAATTTGAAGATCGCTCCGCTGTAATAATTAGGTCAACTAAGCTCCGAGGAATTTTCTCATTTCAACATCTCGTCTAAATTAAGATTCTTATATTACTGCCTTGTGCAAGCTCGCGCACGCGCGCGCGCAACTCTGGGGAACTCTCCTCAGGATTTCTCGCCGTTTTCAGATTCAGCAAGCACACAAAGAGATAAAAAAAAGTAAAAAGACGACTAAGAAAAGCCGTAACTGAAGAAAAAAGGCAAGGAGCAACTACTACTACTACTGCGGCTGCTGCTACTACAACCGGGCGTCTTGTGGCGTGGCTACGGTACATAGCAGTAGAATCAGCAGCAGTAGCAGCAACCCAGACTAAGTAAGAAATAATAAAACTTGCGAGAGTAAAAAATGAAAGATGCAGCGCGCGGCGCGAACAAAGGAAAAGCTGTAGGCAGATAGCGAAGAATCAGGCGATAAGAAGGAGCCGCCGCCGACACTACCGCACCGAGCAGCAGGGGCTCGAACAGTCGGATAAGAAAGCAGCGCAAAAAAGTTGGCTCGCAACTGACGTCAACGTAGATTGAGGAAGAAAAGCGCGCTGTGCACCCCTCGCTGCCGCTGCTGCTGCTGTCCGTCAGCGCAAGCGCTGTCTGCACCTAGAGATCAGCCCCGAACATCGCAGCGGCCTTTAATCGTGTCGACGAAGCGGAATAATCCACCGCACGCACGCCTGCGTGAGAAAAAAAGCTCGAGAGAGAGAGCACACAATGCACATCTAGAAGAGGCAAGGCTCGAGCTAGGCAAAAGTTGCGCTGCTTTTTCAAAGTCCAACACGATGATGGATAATTTGATACTTACTTCTTGCGCGCGCGAACTTTGTGGATGAAATGTTTCTTAATTTTTTCGACAAGATCCGTTCATACTTCTGGAAATTTTATCCTTGGTTTGGCTATATGAAGCAAAACGCATTAAGCCCCGTACAGCGATTAGAAGACTTATCTAGTGCATACATAGCTTGTGCACGATGCCGGGAGTGCTAAAGCGAGATTTATGCTAGTGACTTTAAATCGCTTTATGGACCTAGCTCGACTGTCCACGCGCGCGCGGGCGCCAGGCAATTTCGCCTTTATGGCTGCATTCATGGAAGTGCAGTCTTAAATCGACTAAGACTAATCATTGTTTCTGTGCGGCCGCATGTGTATACGATATTAAACCCAAATTCAAATTTATTATTATAAGAGGCTCGCGCGCCACCACCGCAGTTATACATCGATACTTTGGGCATTAAATACTGCTTCGACGAGCTATAATGGCAAACGAAAACATTGCGAGCTGCCTCGACTGTATGCCAACTCCCCCTCTGTTTCGGTAATTAGAATTTCGTGAATTTTCGCGCGCAATAAATGACTGCGGCAACAAATTTGATCCAGCTTAATTTAGATTCGCGGCGAAAAAGCAAGCTCATTTAAAGATCGAAAAGTTAAAAGAGAGAAATTGCATTTGAAGAAGATAAATTATCCGTTCCGCGTACGCAAGCTGTAAAAGGCGCAGAGGGGAGGGGGGCCGTCGGGAGCTTTCGGGAATTAAGCCATTTAAGTGGAAGTAAATGTCGCCTCAGCACTTCTGGATGTTTCAATTTGCGTGATTATTTAGTACCTTTTAATAAGATGAAATGCTTATTACCAGCTCTTTCTCGCTTCGCGCAGCTGATTCGGTGCCCGAGTAATTGCCGTCTACACGATACGCGCCTTACAGCCTCGGAAATAATCATCGATTCTGGTGAAAATGAAAAAGATTTCGTGAGCGATCCTTACCTGAAACTCGAATTTGTCGTATTCCGCCTGGACGTCGATGTCGGCCTCTCTGGGCGTGATGAGCGGACAGGTATCGCTGGACACTTGAGCGTCCGCGGCCTCGTTGTACTCCGGCTGAGCCGAGGTGAACACCCGGTCGAGGCCCGCGTCCGCCAAAAGAGCCGCGGCGGCCGCCGATGCGGGAGCGTTCGCGGCTCCGTTGGGCGACTGCGTCTGGCTAACGTAATAGAGGCAGAGCAGCACCGACAACAAGACCGCGCAGAGCACGAGCATACGACCCGAGCCGCGTCTCAACAGTTTGTACATGTTGAGATTCTGCTTTTTTTCTCTCCTTCCTTCTTCTTTCTTTCTTTTTTTTTCACTAAAACTGCTCTAAATCCCAAGCAACTGCTACTCTACGTGCATGCGCACTTGTACACACACGCGCGCACACACTCCGGTGTTTGAAAGGGCAAAGTATAAATATGTTTTCAGAGCAGCATAATGTTTTGCAAACTGGTCTACCACTCTGCTATAGCCTCAATCTCGCCAGCGGGGCAAGCTCGACTTCGTTTAGCATCCCTCCGAGTCCGTCGTTGCCGCTGCTACTGCTGCTTCCTGAAACAAACAATGTAAAAAAAGTTTCGTTATTTCATTGTGCGCATATACTTGGCAGCAAAATATAGCATCAGAAGTAAAATTCTAGATGAATAGGTGCATGCAAATGGATACTAAATAATAATGTTGTGCATTTTAACTTGCATTAAACTCAATGAAATATTAACTCTTAATTGGCGCAACTTTTTAGCAGCTTTATTATAATTATTTTTTTGTCGAATATCAAATTACTTCGGGGAATTCTCAGACATGTAAATGAGGCTTGTTATGAAGCCTGCAGTTGTTCGGAAGCATAATCTAAGCTCTTGACACCAATAAATAGAACTGGTTTTTTTCATTATGTCATTTAGTCGACTTGTCAGAAATTCAAGCTCGGTACAAGTTAAATGAAAAGTTTTGCCGATTGAAAATCGATTAACAGATTTCGGTACAATTTTGAGATTAATAAAGCTTACGTTTTAATTGAAATTGGTCTCTCAAGTACTTCCTACAGTGAGTGAAGTCGATTTTAATTTTCTTCGATTAATTCAAATTTAAAATTCAATCGTTTGATATTGAATTTGATCCAAATTACAGATTATTGAAAAATTTAATTTTAAAACTTTTTATCTTCACAAAAGGGCATTGATCATCTCTGTTAATCTAATATCAGAAAATCGAGATAAGAGTGGTTTATTCATTGAAGTTTATAATGATACATGTCGATAGTTTTATTTCACAGTCGGTAAAAATTGTAAGTTAGCATTTTGCTTCGCGGTTGTGACAGTGTAAAAGATAAGAATTCAACAACATAATCGTTTAAGTGTTTTTTTTTATATACACTGTCAATCACAGAAACGTGACCGAGGTTGTTCATGCACTGAGCACAAATATGATGCATTTTTTCACACTTTTTTTTGACACGTGAATAATATTTTTTTTCGTATAGAGTTTCGTTTTTAATAAATATTTATGTGTTTACTTCTGAAAGATTTCATAACAAAGAGAGGATTCACGTCTACGATATCCGAGCTCGAGATTCACACGCTCCAGAAGAAAAACAACTTCAGTGGGGGGAAAATGTATCTCTTATTCCGGGCGCTCGTGCTATGTGTTATCTTGAATCAAGCTTTTCGCGTGACGACTATAAGCGGCAGATGTCGTAGCAGCGACTCACTCCGTATACTCTCGTGTATTATCCACGTATATATACAAACACACGTGGCAAGTGGAATTTGGGTCGATTTACATCACCGGTCGATTGCAGACTGCGCTGCATCCAAATACTTTTTTTCCTCTTCCCTCGTTTTTTTGAGCGCGCGCGCTCCTCTTCTTTTTTCAGCTCTCTTATACGTCGATGCTTCGCTTTCAAAGAGTATGCGGCTTTGAATTTTTCAGGACTCGAAAAGAAGTATTACTGGGCTTGATAAATTTCTAATGATTGTGAAAGCTAATACTTATGAAGAAAACTCCCACGTCTCATAGCATTTTCAATAAAAGCGAGCGTAATCAGCTTACCTCATTCATTAAGTTTGTTTTTTAAGTATCTTTTCGGTCAAAAATAAATATATTGCATTATAAATTGAAAAATTGAAAAAAAAAGATTGAACTGTTATAAAACTTGAACGACACGAGTTCTTCACTAAACTTCAACAAAAAGTTAAAGAAAACGTATTTATTTTATGCATACATCAAATAATTCCTTGTCATTTACTAAATGCGCAGCGACAAAGATATATGTGAAAGAAAAAATATTGGAAAATCACGTGTTTGAGAAGAGGTAATACACGACGGAGCATATAATTAAATGGTAATTATCTCATACTCCAGGCCGTTTAAATGCGACATGCTCGTCAAGGCCGTGTAGCGTATTATCAAGTTTTTTCTTCTTATTCAGCAACTTTTGATGAGATTAAGTTTCAAAACACGCATACATCCACCTCCTACTCGAATGTATACATGCTCGCGTTAATATACAGGGGCGCGCGGGAGTTGCCGAGCATGCTTAAATATTTGCATAAAATTCGCCTGAAAGGAAAAAGCTCGCGCATGAAAAAGATGCGATTCGATGTCCGATACACGCGCGGTACACGGCTTGAAAGCATCACCAACTATTTATTTTTATTTTTTTCCCCTTTTCTAGTCCAAGTGTGCGGTGGTGCGACCATGAGCTTGTACTCATTCGTCGCTACATTGCCCTTCTATTCCTCGATTCAATTTCTATGCTGCTGCGATGCGCTGCATACGACGAACGACGAGAGTCGAAGCTTATCGACCTTAATTTTTGCACAAGCGCTCGGCCGAGTATCATGAAAATTGAATGGACTACTTTGCCTTTCATCAAGCATTTATCATGTACTCTCTGCGAGACCAAAGGATATCCGTATATAATAAAAGGTCCTTTTTATCGAATCGACGGACACGCGATATGGAGTCCGATAAAAATTTCATATTACTCGAACAAGGAATAATTTAAACTCTTTTATTTTATAGTTGTATCATGCTTACGAGAATCGATTTATTTCGAAGCCATTATGTGCGAGGACAAAAAAAAGTTTTCCATCGTAATATGGTCGGGAAATAAAAGTTTTTCGAGAACAAAATAAAAAAAAAAGTCAAGCGCGAGTAAACAGAATTGCGTCACGACTCGCACGAGCAAAGAAACGTGCCGCGAAAAATATCAATTTCTTAAAACGCAGTATATACCACATATACACATATATTTTGCTCGAGGCGAGTATAATGTAGAATTCGCGCGAGTGAAAAGAATAGTAGGTGCCGCTGCCAGGGCACGTTTTAGCTAAGCTAAAACCAAGAGAGACGACGTCTGTCCATTAATTCGTAGCTTCTTATACACTGACAAGACGTTCCGCAAGCGCAGGGGGGTGAGCTGCTGCAAAGTCAGAAAGCGAGAACTTGGTGAAATCTCAGAAACTTAGGCCTAATGAGTTGAGTCCGGGAGGCTAGCGTAGCGCGCGCGACATCACTATTACCGGCGCTGCTGCTGCTACCGCTGCGTCTTTCTCTCTTGGGCGTACGCGTCTCCCTGCAGTCTAATGAGAATTTACAATTTGTCAGTCGTCTTGGCGTAGTCGTCTGCTACGTGAACTCGCACATAAACTCGCACAGCACACACACTCACACGCATACAGACGCGTTTACACGGGTAATGCCGACAAAAGCTCCCCTGCCGCTATTTGCCACGAAAAAAGTGTGTGTGTGTGTAGGCTTGTGTATGAGGTAAGGAGCGCACGCGGCTCCATGTAGAGTACGCCTCTTTGCCTCTCTTGTGTATATTCCCTTTTGGCTACCAGTACTCTTCTTCCCTCTCTTTCTCTCTCGCTGCATCAAGTGTATATAAGAAGAGCGAGAGAGAGAGAGAGATAAAGGCAGAGAGCAATGGAGTGAGTGAGAGAGAGAGAAGAGTTGCTGATGTAGAGAGACGTGAGAAAAAGCGGAAGCTACATGCAGCTTAGGTTACACAAGAGTACATAGTGCGGTTTTTCAGCTAAAACCGCAGAAACAGCTTGAATCTGCTGCTGCTTTGTAGATGCTATTATATACAGCGCGCCGAGAGAGCGAGCGATGCATAGTTGAGGTGGCGCGCGGAATATATGTAGGCTATGATGCACCTTACGCTAGCAAGTGATCGACCAAAGTTGCAACCATAGCGAACGCGCGGCCACTTTTGGATATGCGATATATATAATTGTATACTTTTTCCTCGTTACGTACGACAATTGGACTTGGAAAATGAGATGCGTAGTTGGCTGAAAAATTGAACGGCACCCACACAAACGTTTTTTCGCAATGACACAATTAAAAAAAAACGGCCATTCACCGGCTCGGTTACCCTAGATGGTTTTCAGCGGTTTCGCGGCCAAGTACATAATGAGAGCGTTTATATACCTTGTGTCACCGAGTTGATTGTCTAGCTAATCGATCGGAATCGCTCCGGACTAACTTATAAGCTTCGTCTTGTTTTTAACAGTCGCTTGTTGTTTCGTTCCTACATGCAACACAACTACTTGGTCATTCTTTTATACACGTATATCGTATCGTATGCAAGCGCCCGAAGGTTATCCTTAATGGAGTCGTGTACGTGTGCGCAGATCGGGGCCGAGCTGTCGCGTATATACTATAATACGTGCATTTATGTACGAGCGCTGTTGGTACGTCGAGTCGACATTAATTGCCGAGCGACCTTAGAGAGCCATATACCATTCTCGATACCCGATACGTAAAAGGAAGAAGGTACTTGATGCGCGCGCGCAGCGATGATACAATTCTGGTATAGCCGAGCGCAAAGAGCGCATACATGCATACATTTATGCGAGTGCGGATAATGCATGTAAACACACGCATAGCACACGAATAGAGCTGCGGCAAGTCTCGCGCAGGTGAGAAACAGGAGACAGGAAGAGGTGACATACGATTCGCGTGGCCTCTCTCTCTCTCTCTCTCGGAGCAGCGCATGCAGGCCAACAAAAAGTGCATGGCTTCTGTGTACTCGTCCACTGCACCACTGCACTACAATCGTGCATTATCGCTCTTTCCCTCGACCGCTGCTGCTAGCGCTGCTGTTGTTGCCGTAGTTTTTTCTCTCGCTCGCTCGTTCCTTCCTCCGACTGTCATACCGTATACGTGTTTGTCCGTGTGCGCGTGTGTGTATTTTTGTATGCAAGCGCCCAATTACACGTGTGTATTTACTCATGGTTGGTATACAGTGTGTGTGTACTGTATAAACGCGAGAAAGTTGATCGCGCGCGATCCTGCGAATGTGTCTTTTAATTTCCGGCATTAAGCGGCAGCAACAAAACTCACACAAAAGCCCGCATAGTGTGCCACGCCAGACGAGCTATCTACCGCTGCCGTGTGAATGTGTGTGTGTGTGTGTGTGTGTACTTGTTTATTTTTCAGTGCTGCAGTTTCGCGCGCGCACGTGCATCGCCCTGCTAGCCATGCACAAGCCCAGCAGCAGCAGCGTCGAGCGTAGTTACCGGGCCGTTGTGTTGTTCTTTTTTATCTCGCTCGCTTGCTCGACTGCTGCTGCTGCTGCTTCTAGCTTCACATTGCACACTGCACACAGCGATCAAAGTTCGTCCAAGAAGTTGCAGTTGCGCTCGTGCTCGTGAATGTGTGCTGTGCTCGCCGCGCTCCGTGTGTATGTGAAACGCGTTGATTCGAGATCACGTTTTTGCAGCATTTTCGCTAGTATTGCAGTACACGCGAGAGAGAGAGAAAAAGAGAGCACACACCGGTGTACACACTTTATACTCGTGCAGCAGCGGCGACGACGACGACGAGCTCCAAGTGAAGAAAGAAGAAAAAAAGAAGATGGAAAGAAAAAAGAAGGAGGAAAAAAAGAGTCGCTGCTCTCCGTGTGGTAGTATTTACCGGCTGGGAATCGAAGCGAACTTTTCCCATAAAATGTTTAGGCGCCTCCGCGTGCGAGCTACTGCTCTTTCTCTCGCGCGCATTAGACTAGTGTGTTGTAGATACTCGCTTGTCCTGGAGACTTTGCGTTATACGCGCGAGGCGCGAAGCTAAGCGCGAGTCCCAACGTAATATGCACACACATAGGTACACGCGTACGCCTTATACGTATGGAGTCACGATCCGCATCATAAATAATGGGACTTTTTTTCGCACCCGCCTTCGTTATATGTATTTGTGAATGCTCTGGTGCAAAACGTCTCTCTTGCCTCGTTACGATAGGTGCACACAGCTACCTGAGTATGTGTGTGTATACGCACTATATACTTGTATGTAGCGCGGTATTAGCATAGTTACATGCGGCTTTATCGTCAGCTCTTCATTTATCTTGAAACGCACAATTTATATACAAATACATGGCGCCCATGAACAGCTCGACACGATGCTCTCCATTCAAACGTACTCGTATATTATATGTACCTACACACCAACTCATACACACACTGTCATCTCGAATTGAAATATTATGTGCGTCTGTGTGTGTGTGTGTGCACGCGCGGTTACCAATACACATATGAGCTAACAGTTTTTTAAATGCGCGCGACTTGTATACAAAAGAGAAAGAGAGAACTCGAAGCTATACAAACTTCGTTAAAAATCTGGAAAACCAGCGTATAATCTCGGAAGAATTTGTTTCACGTGCTGTTGCTGCTGCTACGAGTAGGAGAGAGATATATACACGCACACTTGGCGCTGTGGAAAAAAAAACACACGCACGCATGAATGCCGCATTCAGCGTATGCAGCGCGTAAACGCCGTATTATGTACGCGAACAATCTCAAAGATACATACAGCACACAACCAAAGAAGGTAAGCTTGGCTAACGGGCACGACACGGGCGGAAAAAACACTCCTGTATATAGAACAGAAGGAAAAAAAACTATAACTGCGAGCGAGCTGCTTCGGCGTATATACCGCTGTTTTGTGCCTTGGGCATCAACGCGCCCGCGCTATATATTTCTCTCTCTCTATATATATACGCGATTAAGTGTTGTACGTAGTTGGAGAAAAAGTGAACGTCAATAAAGTCGAGACTATACTCGGGGCACGAATCACTGCTAATAATTCATCATTAAGTTTCTCGCGCAGCCGCCTCAGCACTGGAGTACACAACGATAGACTTTTCAAAAGTAAAAGTGTCCGTGTGAGTGTGTATATACGCGGCCGGCGACTTTTCACAAAAAAAATCGTATAAGCCAAAGCCTGTATTTAATAATGTATACGTCAAAAGCGAGACGCGAAGGTCACCGCGCGGTTCAAGTAGACGAAGACGACGACAACTTTGCATCTTTATAGAGTCATGATTCCACGAGAAATGATATTATCACTTTTGCGCTGGCTTAATGTTCCTTGTTTTACCTCGAAAACTCGCTGAACCGTTTAAAATTGCGAAGAAAAAGAGTTTTGATTTGTTCGCTGCGCGGACTTGCTTTTCTTTTCTCTAGTTTTTCTTTTACTTCTCTTAATCTGCAAACGGAGAGCTTGATTAAACGAGCTGGTTTTCTTGCCGAGTTTATAAACATAGTGCTTTTGGTGTATAAACATAGTAGCGGCACAGGAGCTTAAATAAGTCTTTTTAGCAAAAAGAGAGTGATAAAGACGCTGGGGGTCTTTTGATGAAGTTTCCGGTGAGTTCTGCGAGACGGCAATCTTAAACCGAAAATATTATAAGATTTCTTTGACGGCAGCAAGTAGTTGGAAAGTTGATCAAAATTCTCTCCTGGGTCGAGCCACAGTCAAGATGCGAGCTCATTTTATTTGATTACATCTCGCGACAAAACAAATTTCAGTGGAAATTTTTTTTCGAAAAAAAAGAAGAAGAAAGAAAAGAAACACTCGTTTCAGGTGAATCCTAGTCAAGATAGTGTGAGCTAGCTAGCCACACAACACACACGCGTTCGTGTTTTATTATTATGCCAAGGAAAGAACAATCAAATCTTACGTGAGCAACAGCAACGGAGCGGCTAGCTCGGGAATTGTGAGCCGCTCATCATTTCTAGGCAGAAAACTAGCCATTCCACTTTCGGTATTGTTTGACTAGTCGAGAGGGCTGCAGAATCGATATATCTATACGACCGAGTATGTGGCGTGTGTAAAGCTATAGATATATGCAAATTGCTACGCTCACTTATGTGATTAGTCAGCTGTTTTAACATGTATTTATTCAAACGCTAGTCGATTTCTCATTAGAGGAATGTCTGAAAGTTGTGTATCTTCTAACGCGTGTCGCACGTAAGAGTATTGCGCGTGAAACCGAAGCGAAGAAAAAAAAACAAACTCGTAATCTCGAGTGACGTTTGATCCCGGAGAAGTAACAGCTAGAAGGAGGATCGATCGATCTGTATAAAAGTTATGTAGTATCGACGTCGGTATCAATAAAAGTGCAGCAGCCGACAAATTGCGAAGCGTCTCGTACACGAAGAGCTGCAAAACATAAATATAAACAAGTGACGCAAACGCCAAGATGCAGAAGACTCTCGCGTCTATCTCTATTTCTCTCTACTCGTCGTTACCCCACAAAGTCGTAGTAAATCCGGTGCTCCGCGCGCACCGGGAGCTTGATGCACTCTCGGGTGAACTTTTAATGTATATATATACACGTGGTATACGTACTTGCATTAACATGTTTCGCAGAGCAGAGCAGAGCAGTGCAGTGCAGTGAATGTGTGCAGCAGCAGCCTCGCTACTAACGGGTTTCGAGCAGGAGCTTTTTGAAAGTTTGCTCGCGAGGCTAAGTGTATATCTATGCAGTTGCTACTGTAGTACAGCAGCGAGCTTTCCGGTCCCCCAAGTTGGCCGCGCGAATAGTTTATAATCGAAAGCAGCTGGACCGACGTAGTCCGTCACCCACTCATACAACGATAATATCTCGCACGTTTTATTAATTCGCTCGCTTTGGCGCGCTCACTGCGTCAGCACACACTCGATTCCCACGCACTTTCGACACCCACGAATTTTCACTAATAGCCGGCAATTAAGATTTATATATATCGAATGGATCGTGCCTCGCTGTCGAGAGGATCGCTTTATAACGAGTCGTGTTAATGGCATAAACGCATACGCATACCTATAGAAATATCATAGATGCAATGCAGCACAGAGGCGATGTCAACGGCGATGTCAAAGAGACCGCGTGCGCGCGAGCCACGGAGCTTTTTTGCGCGTCCCTTCTCGCTCGAGAAACACGTCGTAACTGACGGACGTCGAGGCAGCAGCCAACACCAGCAGTAGCAGCAGCAGCACGCGCGGTCACCGCTCCTTCTCTTTCTCTCTTTCTCTCTTTTGCTCTCTCTCTCTCTCTCGCTCTCTCTCTCTCTCTCTCTCTCTCGCTCTCTTCGTATCCGATGCCGGCTGCTCGCGGCGTACCTTCCGCGCATGTGCCAATAATCCATGCGCTCTCGTATAGTCTGTGCGTATACAGTTATAGCGCGCGGCCGCCTTGTTGACTGAGTCGCTGTATGGATAAGTAAAGGTGGGGACTGCTGCTTCGAGCACCGAGCCAGAGAGAGAGAGCCTATATTCCGGCGTACATTATATATACATATAGCAAAGCCTGCTGCACGATGATCTTTGTAATTAAACCGACATGATGAATGCGCCTGGCGAGCGCGACTCGGCGCGTCGATCTAGCTGTCTCTTTCTCGCTCTATCGCCTCGGCATATTATAAGCACGAGACACGGACCCTTTCGAGCGCTCACTTGCACTCTTCGTATCCGACTGCAGCCCGACTCTTCGTTTGCGCGCGAACCGCGTTGCACCTTGTTGCTGCTAGTCAAACTGCGAGTCCAAATTATCGGACGCACTTCTCGTGACAGGCCTCTGCAGCTGCGAGCTCGAAATGTGTTCCGAAACATTGGAGATATGATTCACCTCGGAAATAATCTCGGGCGTGCATAAATCACGTACGAAACACGCGTTTGTTCCCTAAAGCCCCCCAAAAGAGATAGCAAACTAAAATCAATAATAATCCTTGGTATCAAAGTATAATCCATCATTATACACTTCCTTGCGAAGAGGAGAATGTATACTCGGCAATTTGCTATTTCGGAGCGCTGTGTATGCAGCAATGGAAATTATGGTGTTATTTCATCGCGCGCGCGCACGACGCAAAGGTTATAACATCGAGTGGCAAGGAACGAAGGAGCAGCTCGCGTATATAGCAGCAGCACAGAGAACACAACTTCACGCACCAAGGGTCAAATAAATTTCAAACTTTTCATCCACCAAATTCTCCGCGCGCGTGGATATGTTGGAGAAATTTTCTCTCGCTCCATCGATGTATGTGTGCTACTCTCTCGCAACACTGCATTACATATAGATCGGAGGAGCTTCTTTACTCCTCTACGCGCTGCGCGTATTATATATATCATACGAAGCTTCGTCATCGTCGACGGACTGGAAAGAAATCGACACGACGGGCGAGCAGCACCACCGCCACCGAACCAAGTTCGCGCCAAGCTCTCAGCAATTTTGCCCCATGTTTCACACACGCGCACACAGGAGAATGTATCTATCTATCTCGCCTTTCTTCGACTTCTCTCAAGAATTTTGTGTCCTGACTTTTGAGCTGGCTCGCACAATCTCCTTATATAAGACGCCGAATCGGGCGTAAGTGCATGACCTGTATTTTTAGCTCTCAGTTGAATATTCTATCAAAATTGCCACTATTTTTTTTTCAATTTTAAATTACCTAAGACAAATGAGAATCATATATTCGAGAGATCATTTTAATTCTGCGTGATCCGAGTATTTTGATTTCTTTAAATCGGGAATTTCTTTAAATTCCTAGCGGTGGCACTCTTAAATCCCTTGACGCACGGATAAATCAATGTCATCGCAAAATTTTCGATAACATTCTCCGGAACTTCTGGAAAGCGTGAAAGCTATATAGGCAAACAACTATACGTGGGAAAGCCTATTGTCCGTTTCTCAAGCTTGAGACGCTCGACGACGACGACGACGACGACGACTGGCAAGGGAAGGAGGAAAGGGGGGCAAATCCTCCGTCTCTGTCTCCCTTTGGCTATCCGTCGATCCGTTACCGTAACTAGATCTCGAGCCTCTAGCCGCCGTACGCTATACATATATATTATAGGCGTCGTCCTGCTTCATCGACGTTGTCCGTCACGCTCCCTATTTTCTTTTTGGACCGACACGTTATCTCGTGGCAATGTACACCGTCCGTCCCCTCGTCCGTCCGCTCGTGCATCGCCGCCGCTAGTATAACTTCTTGTCTCGCTTTCGAGAGCTTGTCAAATGCGAGGCGAACGGTGATTTCTCATCGACGACGATGAAGATGATGATCTTAACACCCGAGTCTTTTCAATTTCCGCTGGGAGACGCGTCATGTAGCGCGCATGCCATTGTAATTTTGCACCGTCGGACAGCATCACCAGCAGCAGCAGCAGCACAGCTCGAAGTGCGCGGCATGTCAACCTCGAGTCGATGGAATTGCAATTAACTTAATTGAAAACGCATACCTTACGAGGCCGAATGAAGCACTCAAACCTCGTGATATGTTCACTAATTACACAGACTCGTCTAAAAAGAAGTGCCGCGTCCTGGCGATGACATAGTGTATTTATGTTTTTTTTTTGGGTTGTTGATTACAAATTTACTGCCCGTTTTGCAGAATTGGGCAAGGGTTTTTCTTGATAAAAGTATTGTTCCAAATTTTGTTGTTGTTGCTATTTTATAGGTAACAACACTACATTTTAATACCTTAAATTGAATACTAACTAAAAAATTTCAAAAAATGTGAAAATGAATTTAAAATAATCTCCTATCTATGTGAATAGCTCACATCTATTTTTCAATGTTTTCAATAATTCAAATATATCGCGCAAAAATTTTCACAGCTCCTCCTAATGTAAAATCCTGTTACATATTTTGTATTATTCATGAAACCGTCATCCGTTACTTTGAATCGAGTCGATACATAAGTTTGTTTACATTCTATAGAATACGTATTGACTCGAGCAAATATAGAAGATTAAGTACTCCGACAGTAAATTCAGTAGCCCTCAGAGCATCGTACAACGAGTTAGGAGTCGACACCTAAGAACGTTAAAAGTTTGGCACTGAAAAAGCGCGTGAATAAGAGGAAAAAAGTGAATACCATTTGCTAATTTGAGTGAGAAACAATGGCAGACGTCGAGCAGAATGACAAAAATGATGACAAGTGCTACTTCGTGACGAGGACCCCAGTGACGACGTACGTGCTCGACTGGAAGATCGAGCAGTTCCTCTTGAACGCTAACGTGCTGGGCCGCACCGGCAACCTCGTCTCGCCGATATTCCCGACCAAGCCGATGGTCAGCGGTGACGGGGAGCAGGTCCTGGTCAAGCTTCAGGTGTCGCTCAGCTACAAGCAGCTGGAGAGCCCGAGTTGTTGGGTGCTCGGCGTCAAGATGCTCCGCGCCGACGAGCAGGACGAGCAGGACGGCCCGATTTACAACGCGGAGGCGCGACTCTGCTTCGTCGACGCTCGCAACAAGGAGGTCGACGAGCAGTACTGCTACTTCGTCGTGGGGCTGCAGAACTACACGCCGATGGAGTTGCCGCACAACATGCGAGAAATTCTCGCGGACGGAGCGCTCACGCTGCGCTGCGAGGTCAAACTGGCCAAGCAGAAGTCCAATATGCACGTGCACTTGTGCGAGTTGCGCGAGACCTTCAAGCAGCAGGCCATGCACCAATTGGAGAACTCGAACGACATCTACGAGGGTCTCGGCGTTATCGACAAGAACCATAGCTTCAGCGACGTCGAGCTCCTCATCGAAGACCAAGTCTTCAAGGTACACAAGGTTGTGCTGGCATCCCGGAGCTCCAAGTTCACCAAGATATTCAACACCAAGCCCGACGTGACGCAGCACGAGATCCACGACCTCAAGGCCTCGAACTTCGAGGTCATGAAGAAGTTCATGTACGAGAACGTGCTCGAAGATTTCGACAGCCTGAAGACGGCCAGCGATATTCTGATCGACGCCAGCGAGTACGGCGTCAACGAACTCAAGCGGCTCTGCGAGACCTATATCTACGACCAGCTCTGCAACGCGAACAGCTTCGACATATTGACCCTGGCCGATCGCTGCTGCTGCGACGAATTCAAGAAGACCATCTTGCGCTTCATCTGTCGCGAGTTCAAGAGAGGCGTGCTAGACACCGAGGACTATAAGCACCTGAAGCGCACCAATCCGCAGCTCGCCGTCGAGCTGCTCGAGCAGCTCAACGTCCCCGACGAATGACAAGTTTCTTCGAGCTTTATAAAAAATTAAATACGAGCCTTCTTTTCTCGCACGAATTAATTGTGTATCGTAATAAATATCATTTATTCATGATATATTCCGGATAATATAGTATAATTTATATTTTACGGACGAGTATAAATTCTGAATGGCTTGTGATTGTGTATGACATGTTGAAATTATGTATTATATGAATCGAGACGATTTTATTTTGCCGAACGTGTGTATTAAAGCTACATTTTTTTGTAAATCAATAAATGAATCTGATATGTCTTAAACAATATAGAGAATATTTACAAACAAATAACCCAAACCAATTTAACAAAGCTCGTATTAATGTGTGAATTTAGTTTTAGGGTACCACAAGATTAGTTGTGGTGTTATGGTAGCCGTTTATATGAAGAAATTACCTTGAATAAAAATATTTCCTCTAAAAGCTGGTAATGTACTATTTTATAAATGTCAAGATATAATGAAAAAATTTGGAGGTATTTAAATTGTTCGGTTTCGTCAACAATATTTGTGTTAACACAAAACTGGAGCATAATTATAACAAAAATATTTAAAAAAGCGTCTGAAAATAATCCTAAAGCTTTTTATTCTTACACATCGCATGCTAATGCAATTCTTTGAAAAAAAGAAACTTAGCATATGAATAGAGTGGATATAGATCAGACACGTGGAAATTTAAATTTTCCAATTAAAATGGTAGCTTGAAATTTATACGTATAAAGGCACGTGCCATCGCACTCACTATATCTAGAAATGAAATAATTAAAATGGGTTGAAAAGCGATTCGAGAGATCAACTCTATTCAAATCTAATACTTTGGAGTAGCGAAATTTTCATTCTCGCGCGGATGAGATGACTTACATCGCTCGTGTAACGTTCACCTCAGGAAAAAAGTTTTCTGTCGCCCACGTCACCGATTATACTCTGTTAATTTCCAAGCGAGCACGGGACACAAATTCTGCAAATTACGTTGCAGTCCAAAGGACGGTGAGAGCATATTGTGACACGAAGTGTGAAAATAATCCAAAAGATAAAACTAGTACTAAATAGTTGACCTTTAGACTGCGGCGGTGCGCGGCGTTTCTCATTCAAAGACGGAAAAGAAAGAATAAGTTCGCGAGCTCGGCTGAACGGAGCTCGTCGGGAAGAAAAACGACTTTTTGCGGGATGCATAATTCAAAGGGCGCCACAGGACGGAGAGGAGGAAAGCGAAACTTGAAAAAGTATGTTAATGAGAAAAACACGATGAGCCGCATAGGCTAGCTGCGGTTGACGCTCGTGCGGCGGAAAACGACCAAACTATCCGCAAGAGAATGCGAGAGAGAGAGAGAGAGAGAGAGAGAGAGAGAGAGAGAGAGAGAGAGAGACAAGAGAGGCTTGTGGGAAAAGTTGTAACGACTGTAGGATAATCGGATTGGAAAGAACCTGGCCAGGGCAACACTCGCCCGACACGGGCTCTGAGTTATATAACTTCAATTCGATGAAGCCACCTTCGAGGATGGCTCCCATCGACTTGATTCTCGAATGTATTTCGCCTCGAACTCGAGCCTCTTTAAATCAAATGATACTCGCGAGAGTGTGGCGGCTGATTCGGCTGCATCCACTGACGACCCTACGCTGCAGCCACAGAATGAATGAAGCATCAAAAAAGGTGGAAAAGTCACTTGAAAAAGATTGGATGGAAAATTGCTTTTCTCCCGCTAAGTATTATAGTGATGTACGTATAGAAGAAACGCGTGTGTACATACGTGCTCTGAAAGTATTTTTTCTTGAAACGTTTTCATTCAGGAAAAGTATAGTTATCTTGCTTCAGGCTATTGAACAAGAGGATTAAAAGTTTACTTGATTTAAAATGGTCATATTTTTCAATTATTTTATTGCAAGATGTACCCTTTCTTTGGCGCACTATGATGTATTGTGCCAAAAATAAAATATTAAATGATGACCTTCTATCCCTCACGAATCATGAGTTAATTTACTCTTACCTCCAATAATCTCGTTAAACAAAATATTGTTACAATAGTAGCAGTATGCAACAGCGCAGCTGCAGTTTTGTACCGCCGACATAATAGCAATGTGCTCTAGTCTTCAAGTCATAGTTTTTCCAAAGTCGGAATTAACTTGGATGGATAAAGACAGAGTGAGTTGCGCACGGGAAAGCCCCAAAGTAGGAAGAAAAGAGAGAGAGAGAGAGAGAGAGAGAAAAAGGAAGGGCGCGCTTTTAACTTCTCGAAGCTTTCGGCGTAAGGTTATCTTACTACCGTACCACATAATGTGCCGGAAGCACACGGTTTTACTCTCTATCTAGCGGTGGTAGAGAAGGAAATGGAGTGCACTTATTTAAAAGGCCTTCCCGAACAAGCAAATGTGCCGTGTAACAAGAGGGTGCAATGCGATTGTTAAAAGGATGAAACAATATATTATTTCTTATAGTGTACTTTATGCGTGTTTCAATTTGAAAGATGTAATCGTAAACTTTTACGATTTTTTATTCGCGATTTTCGTTTTTTAAAATTTAAAATTTCAATAATTTCAACATTTTTCATCAATAATATTCATCAAATTTTTTATCAAGTCAAAAAAAAACTCGGTATCGAACTTAATCCCTCAAACAAAAAGTAACCACAATACGAAATTCATATTTTTTCCCCAAATGAATGTAAAATTAAACTATCTGTCGAATACTTTGATTTTTTTAATTAATAATATTGCCTAGTATTTACTGTGAAAAATCTTTTGTCCGTTATTTTTTATTTGGATATCGCTAGATGAAAACTCGAAATGAAAGAATGCACACGCGGCTGTGACTTCATTATTACAAATAAAACAGCTGCACGCATTGCCAGAGATCAAAAGCCAAGGAAAGAAGCCATCCGCTGCTTTTTTATTCCCACTGTGGTACGGAGAGCTTAACAACACGGCGACGAGTCCCTCTCGGAGATGTACAGAAACTTCGATGAACGGCAAAAGCATCTTTGTTCGCGGTTTTTTCTGTGTGTATAATACCAACGACGACCGGCTGACAAAACCAATGACCTGGTCTACTTGACCGCCCCTCAGCGTATACGTAGCAGCAGCAGAAGCAGCAGTGACAGCGGCGGCGAAGCAACATTAAAGAGCCTTTTTTATGTAGATTATTCATTCAAGTGTGCTTTGACAAGCTTTAAAAATATAAAAGCGACAAAAAAGGGGTCACTGAGTATTCAAAGATACGAAATATCATGTCGAACAAGTAAATATTTATTTCCAGTGTAATGATTAATTTTTCAAAAGCAGTTTCTTTCCAATGGTAATTTAATGTTCGCGTAAAAGGAGTCAATTGCAATTAACCAATAACGAAGGTGTATAGTTTCGTTTAATGCTTCATGGTACATAAAGTGCAGCGTTACTTATCGAGACACTGGCTCACTTCAAAAACATAAACAACTGGACTTTTAATTTCATCCATTGTTCTCAGCGTGCATACTGTATTTCACGACTGCTATATGATACTAACTCTTTCACAGTGTGATTCGCGTTCTGTGGATTTAATTTTTAATACCTCACTTTTCCGTAATCATGTATCATTGACAGTAAAATTTTTGCCTATTAATCAGAAATGAGAAGTATAATGTAATTTCATCATTGATATAATTATATAATGACTTAATTTTGTTTTATACCAGCATCCTGAGTAGTATATTTTTCAACGAGTACACTTGTGGTTTTTTTAGTAAAATGAGGGATTATATAACTAGCCAAAGGCGAGTGTTACAACAAGTTTGGTTGTAGAATCATATCTGCACCAATTGATAATACTATTTTTCCATACGAAATCCTAAAATTAGCGACAAAGTTGCATATTTTGGGTCAAAGAGGGAAAAACTAGCATTACTCAGCCACTGCGCTAAATAGAGATTGGTTATTTCCGAGGTATGATAACATATCGACCTAAACCGGGAAAAAATAAAGTGTAAGTTAATTCAATCGTTATTTTTGTAAGTAACAAAATTTAACGTATTTTTTATATTGAAATTCTAAGCAAATTGTGTATAAATTGACAATATTACAAAATTAGACTATATAAGAGAAAGCAATTTAAACTGCTTATAGTAATTCTGCTGCTCTGATAAGTTCAACTTGAAGTTTCTATGATACGATCATTTTATCATTAATGAGTCGAATATTTATAAATAATAATACTCATATTCTCATATTTTATATCACTCGCTTTTTATATATTTCTCATCAATGTTTGATTTATTCATCATTACATCGATTCGAATTAAATTTAAAAAAATGTATTTACTCATTTACAATTTATCTATGAAAAGGTGATAATTATGTTAATTGTAATTAATTCGAAAGCAATTATATTAATACGCCATCAATCTACTCTGATTGGAATGTGATGTTACGTATAATATGAGACGATCGATGCCAAATCTATTATGATACAATATTGATATACTCAGGTAGTACATTAAATCTTGATTGTAATATAATTCATTGAATCTACTAAAGCTCTATTCTTTAATTTGAGTAAACCTTTCAGTCTAAACGCTTTGAAGGGAAAGTGCAACTCGCACACTTGACTATAGCAATCATGTCGTAAAAAAAAGGAAGGAAGTTAACGAAGTGTGCGCAACGTCGCTTTGTGACAATACTAGTGGGGTATACACGTTTGCAAATGATTACGATGCCATTCTCATATAGTCGCGTGCATACGTGCACAAGAGTACAGTATCGTTCAACCTTTACAAACTAATGGAACTAATAACGCTTCCAACGAGATGAATGCAGATTAGAGTGGCGCATGATTATTATGGCTACCTTTAAAAAGTTTTTATGAACAAGTTGCTGGAGTTTAAATTATCGCTTTCATTAATTCATTTCAATTTTAATTTGCAGAGAGTTTACGGATTATTTTCATTAGAATTAAAATGTAATGAGTTGCTCACATGGTATGGTTAACTATTTAGTGTCTAAATAAAAGCATAATAGGTGTA